ATAATCCAAATAAGGCAGTTTGAGCAAGTAAGGCAATTAAGTCAACTAGACATGCTTCCCTAAGCTAACAACCGGCTTGAATTGCAAGTAGTATAAACAAGAAAAGAAACACAATTATAATTACTTAATGAAAACCGGATTTTTCAATAATTAGCATAAGTACGCGCTCGTCACCTCACGTACAAGGTATTTCAAATGTCAATAATACCAAATCCTAAGGGGGAGGTCCCCCACACAAAGTTAGGCAAGCCACTTACCTCAAACCGGCTCAAAATTAACCTGAAACCACGATCTTGCCACGAGTACTCGACTCCAAATGTCCCAAATCTATTCAATTCAATTACATAATGTAAATATAACTACAAGTAACTGATTCCACAAATAAATTCTAAACTAATACGCGAAATTAGGTAAAATAACCAAAACGCCCTCCGGGCCCATGTCTCGGAATCGGGTAAAATTTATATTTTCAGAATCCTCATACTCTCATGAGTCTAACCATACCAAAATTATCCCAATCCAATGTCAAATCCCCAATCAAAACTTGAAATTTAAGTCTAAGAACTTTCCCCCAATTTTCATCCAAATTCCAAAATTAAATTATGAATTCATGTTTAGATTAATGGGTTACAAGCAAAAAGAAGTTAAAAATCGTTACTCAATCGACATCTCTGAAAATCCCTCAAAACCTCACTCAAATCCGAGCTTGCAAACTTAAGTTTTGATAAAAATGGTCAAACCCTCGTTCTGAAATGTTTAATAATGCCCAGGTGGTTGTACATCGCGATCGCGTAAAATGAGGTGCGATCGCGAAGAGGAAAATCTGATGGCTCATGAACTGGGCTATGCGAATACGTGATGACGCACGTGAATGCGGAAGAGGGAAAGGCAGGCTTACGCGTTCGCGGACAGGACAATGCGAACGCGTAGAGGAAATGGTCACAGTACCCCCCTCCCCCGCTCCTAGTTCTACTACGCGAACGCGAATAGAGGGATGCGAACGCGAAGGAGGAGGGGGCAGACTTCCGCGATCACGAGCGAAAACATGCGAACGTGAAGAACAATTAAATCATCCTCCGAAATTACACTACGCAAACGCGGAGGAAAGGGCGCGGATGCGATTAAGGAAACCATACACCAGCAGTTCTGCAATTTCAACAAGTTCCAAAATGACCCGTTGAGCATCCACAACACACCCGAGGCCCCCAGAACCTCAACCAAATATGCCAACCAATCCTAAAATATCATTCAAACTTGTTCCAATCTTCTGAACGCTCAAAACAATATCAAAACTCCAATTTTACATCGGATTCAAGCCTAAGAATTCCAAAAACTCTCAAATTACGCTTTCGATCAAAAAGTCTATCAAACCTCGTCTGAATGACCTGAAATTTTGCACACACATCACATTCAACACTACGGAGCTACTCCAACTTTGGGAATTCCATTCCAACCCTTGGATCAAAATCTCACTATCGAACCGGAAACTTCAAAAATTCAACTTTCGGCATTTCAAGCCTAAATTAGCTACGGACCTCCAAAACACAACCCAAACACGCCCCTAAGCCCAAAATCACCCAAAAGAACTAACGGAACTGACGGAATTCCATTCCAACCCTTGGATCAAAATCTCACTATCGAACCGGAAACTTCAAAAATTCAACTTTCGGCATTTCAAGCCTAAATTAGCTACGGACCTCCAAAACACAACCCAAACACGCCCCTAAGCCCAAAATCACCCAAAAGAACTAACGGAACTGACGGAATTCCATTCCAAGGCCGTCTTCATACTGCTCCGACTACGATTCAAATTCTAAAGCTTAAGCTCTCATTAGGGACTAAGTGTCCCAAAACACTCGAAACTCAAAACCAAACATCCCGACGAATCAAAATAGCAGAAACAAATACGGGGAAAGCAGTTAATAGGGGATTGGGGCATAAATTCTTAAAACGACCGGTCGGGTCTTTGCCTTGACGATAGGGCTTTAATGACTTCCCTTATACATGACTTGATAGTGCCGAATATCCTTCCCTGAATCTTGGTCCTTCCAGATTTAGTATACTTGATTGATTATCTTGCAAGATTTTCTATACTCTTGATTGATTGATCCCTTCAGTCTAGCCTTAATTGATTCCGTCAGTATTGGACACTATCATTGATTCTTTCAATCTTAGATGCTTTCCTTGATCTTCTCTGATTGATTCCTTCAATCTTGAATGCTTTCCATGAGTTCCTATATAAATAACAAATATATTATTTTCACCATTAAAATCAGATCTAACAGTCTCCCCCTTTTTGATGATGAAAAAATAATATACATGTATAAACATCAGTTAACTTCCCTGTATTTTACTCTCCCTCAATGAGAGCAATTGACTTTCTCTAGTTATAGATGTTGAGGCTCTTGTAGTCAACTTCTTCTACAGGATCTATGACTCCCCCTCAAGAGGTGCCGTGAACTGCTACCTGCACTTACCCTTCAATTGACTTATCCTTGTATGTAGCTGTACAAATACATATATTCTTTCTCCCCCTTTTGACATCAACAAAGAGGAAGTAGTAAAATAGACTACAATACAAAAACAGGATTTATAGCATGATATGCTTGCAAAGTTATAGCAAAAAAAATAGAAAAATCATCCGCCTACTGATTATCCAGTCCAAAAACAGCATAGAAAAAAAATTCTTAATCATCCACTTTAACGACGCAAAAAATAGGTAAGAGTATTGCAAATCACCTCTTTCAGTTGATCAAAGCTGGCATTGGCTGAAACACTCATTACATAGAGCCTGTCATGAACCTCCTTGAATGCCTTGACAACGTTTTCCCTTACTTTGAAAACTACAACTCTTATCTTAGAAACATCAGGCCTTGTTTTTTTGGAGATAGCATGAATGTCACCAACAGTGGACTGAGTGGAAGTGAGAAGGACTTTGATTGCAGATAGCTGACTGTCAATGGCACTAAGCTTTTCAACAAAGTCAGGATTACTATGGCTATGATGGGAAGCAGAAAGTTTGGATTTAGAATCGGTTTGAGCATGCTTGACTTCTCCTTCTTGTTTCTTAACCCATGAGCCCTTCACACACATATATCCCATACTCGCAAAAGATCTGGAATTGTAAGATTTTGAAACAGAGATAAAGGGATATTCAAAAGTGGAAATATTATGAGCTTCCAGAATGTGAGTGATGGCCATGCCACAGGGTAGACTAGTGGGATCATCAACACTTTCAATCATAAAACTGATGACTTAGGAGGACAGCTTAATATTGAGTTTAGTCACAAGGAAATAGACCGGAAAGGTGTCTCTTTGAGAGAAGGTAGAGAAAGAGACAGTATGAGGAAGCAGAGTGATTGCAACAATGCAGGCCAGAACACGAGTTTTGAAACTAACATCACTAGGGCCTAACTGGTCTGGGAGAGATTCATATGGACACTCAGCAATACACCTTTTATCTTGATCAAAAGAAATTTCAAAATCATCGGGCCAAGAATTTATGAAAAGCATAGGGAAATTAGAACACTTACACTGAAAGATTGAATCAAAACATGGCACAATCAAGAACAATACACTTTCCTAACAGTAAGGACTCCAACTTATCAGACTTACTAGAGTGCATATTTGCATAAAACATTCTCACTAGAGGTACATAGACTTTAGGCAGATTTGCCTTAGAATGATGCACAGAAATTTTAGAGAGACATATAGCACTAGAATTATCACAGAAAATTGATATAGGCTTAAAAGATAATTCATAGTCACCAAGTTGATGATACATCCATAGTAATTGTGCATAACATCGTCCAATAGCAATGTATTCAGCTTCAGTCGTGGATAATGCAAATGATCCTTGTTTTTTATTGTTCCAAGATATCAATGCTTTGCTAAGTAATTGACATGTTCCACTTGTGCTTTTTCTGTCTTCCTTATCACCTGCAAGATCAGCATCTGAAAAACCTTTTAATTTAAACGTGTTAGAACGAGGATACCATACTCCATGAGAGACAGTTCCAATGAGATATCGAATAATTCTTTTTACTGCCGTCAGATGTGATTCCTTAGGAGTTGACTGAAACCTGGCACATTTACAGACACTGAATATAATATCCGATCGACTAGCAATTAGATAAAGAAGTGAGCCAATAATTCCATGATACTTAGTTTCATCAACAGGAATTCCTTGTTCGTCTTTGTCGAGACTTGTTGAAGGAATCATTGGTATGCCAATAGCTTTAGCATTGATCATACCGAATTTTTGGATCAAATCCTTTGTGTATTTGATCTGACATATGAATGCTCCATCTTCAGATTGTTGGATTTGAAGTCCAAGGAAGAATGTTAGTACTCCTGTCATCCTCATTTCGAACTCACTTTGCATAAGATTTGAAAATTCCTTGCACATAAGAGGATTAGCACTACCAAAGATAATATCATCAACATAAATTTGAATAGTGAGATTACCTTCTGATGATCTTTTAATAAATAGAGTAGTGTCTATTTTACCTCTTGTAAATCCATGATCAATAAGAAATGAATTGAGTCTTTTGTACCATGCCCGTGGAGCTTGTTTCTGTCCTTACATCGCTTTGGTTAGCTTATGCACATGATAGGGAAACATTGAATCTACAAACCCAGGATGTTGTTTCATGTATACTTCCTCTTCAATGAAACCATTCAAAAAGGCACTTTTAACATCCATCTGGAATAGCCTGAATCTCTTAAAGGATGTATATGCCAAAAGAATTTGTATAGATTCCAGTCGAGCTACTGGGCAAAGGTTTTGTCATAGTCGACTCCTTCTTGTTGTAAATATCCTTGAGAAACTAATTTGGCTTTATTTCTTACAACTTTTCCATCCTCATTCAGTTTATTTCTGAAGACCCACTTTGTTCCAATTATAGGAACACATTCAGGTTTGGGTATCAATTTCCATACTTGATTTTTGTCGAATTGGTCTAGCTCTTCCTGCATCGGTTGCAGCCAGCTTGAGTCTTTCAGAGCTTCTTCAATTTTTTTGGCTCAATCTGAGAGATTAGCGCTATGTTTGCTTTCTTCTTGAGGGCTCCCCTGGTTTTCATTCCCTCGCTAGGATCTCCTATGATGAATTTTTGAGGATATTCAGGTTCACTTTTCCATTCATTTGGACGAACTATATGAGTAGTTGACTCTTTCGAAGGTTCTATTGGATTGTTGGTGGTTTCATTAGTTGACTCTATCACAACATTAGATCCATTAGTCGACTCTTGAGATTTGTTTGTCTCCAGAATTTCTTGAGCTTGATCTTCATTACCTGCAATAATTTCTTTCTCGGTCGAAGAGTTATTTTCATCAAATATAACATGTACTAATTCTTCAACACACAATGTGCATTTATTATAAACTCTAATAGATCTACTATTCAATGAGTAACCCAGAAAAATACTTTTATCATTTCTTGGATCGAATTTTCCAAGATTGTCCTTACCATTATTGTGAATGAAATACTTACTTCCGAACGGATGAAAGTAACTAATATTAGGACATTTACCTTTCCACAGTTAATAAGGTGTTTTCTTCAAAATAGGCCTTATGAGACATCGTTTGAGAATGTGACATGTTGTACTTACTCTTTCTGTCCAGAAGTGATTTGGCAGTGAATGTTCTAGTATCATAGTTCTTGCCATATCTTGCAGGATTCTATTTTTCCTTTCAACGACTCCATTCTGTTGAGGTGATCTTGGTGCAGAGAAACTGTGAGTATATCCTTGATCATTATAGAAGTCTTCAAATGCTCTGCTTTCAAATTCTCCTCCATGATCACTTTGGATTATTGTAATCAGATACCCCCTTTTCTCTTTTGACCTTCTTACAGAAAATCTCAAAATTTTTCAACAATTCTTCTTTATGAGATAAGAAAATCACCCAAGTAAAATGTGAGTAATCATCAACAATAACAAAAGCATATCATTTCCCTCATATGCTAGCAGTTCTAGTAGGCCCAAATAAATCTATATGAAGCAATTGCAAAGACTTAGAGGTAGATACAATATCCTTGTTTTTGAAAGAGTTTTTAGTTTGTTTTCCAATTTGACAAGCATCACATATATGATTTCTCGAGAAATTTAGTTTGGGTAAACCAATAACTAACTCATGCTTAGAAAGTTTTTCTATCAAATGCATGCTTGCATGACCAAGTTTCTTATGCCATAACAAAGGATCATCAAATATGGATGTTAAACAAATATGAACATCTATATTTTCAAATCCATCAAGAATATAAACATTTCCATACCTTTTACTTGGGAGGATTATTTTACCTGTCTCATTTTCAATAGCACAGTCTGTTTTCTTGAATTTTACCTCATACCCTGAGTCGCATAGCTGACTTATACTCAGAAGATTGTAGTTAAGTCCGTCAACAAGATAAACTCCAGTGATATCGCAGTTGTTATTGAAAGGGACTATTCCGGTACTAACTATTTTTCCTTTTGAATCATCGCCAAACTTAACACTTCCTCCATCTATTTTTGTAACTTCCTTAAACAGGTTTTTATCACCTGTCATGTGACTAGAACATGCACTATCTAAGTACCATTTCCTTTGCAACTCCTCCTGTGGTGTTCCTGCAAGACATAGTGATTACTTTCTTTTAGGTACCCAAGCTTGCTTGGATCCTGGTTGGTTAGTATAACTTGACTCAAAATTGTTTTGGGTTTCCAAATCCAACCTAAAATATTTGATTTACGAAATCAACAAAAAGAATATCTATGTCCACTTTTGTTACACTAGTGACACGTAACTTCTGATCCATTTTTGGATCTTTCATTAGTGTTAGTACTAGTGGACTTTGTTCTAGCTGGTCCTTCTCCGGTTGACTTGTAAGTTGCCTGGTTTAACCTGACAGAACTATGACTAGTGGATTTGCGCATGCCATTGAGTTGCATTTGTAATTCCTTAAACTCTTCTTGAAGTACTTCTTTTTCAATTTCACATACTTCATGCTTGAGTTTCCAGTCTTTTAATTCTTTGTTGAGTCTCTTTAGTGCATTCATCATTTTTTGAGACTATTTCAAAGTAAGATCAAGAATATCCTACAATTCATTATACCTTTCACAGTTATAATATTTTACCTCACTTTTTTCACCTCGTGACATGAAACAGTTCTCATTATCATCTTTGCGTTCATCGTCTGAGGTGTCCTTATCTATCCAGCATCCTGAAAGTTTGTTCATGTCATTTTCCAGAATTTGTCATGAAGTAGAGATTTGCTATTTCTTCGTGGTCTGAATTGTCTTCATTACTCCAGCTTCCAAATGATTTGTTCTTGTTGAAGCCTCTCAAGATTTTTCTTTTTAGTTCGGGACACTCACCTTGAACATGTCCAAATCTTCCACACTCGTAGCATTTTCCATTATTTTTGTCTTGTTCATTATATTGCTTGGATCGCCTAGGTGGAATCCTTCCTCTTCTCGCATTCCTGAATCTTCTCATTAAAACATCCATGTTTCTTGACACCATGGCAATTTATTCTTGAAGAGCTTCAGGATCATCATCGATATCATTCTCTGCTATTTCAGTTGTGGCCTTAAATGTAGTTGTTTTCTTCTTGGTTTGTTTTCTTGAGATGTGTTTTATCGAAAGCTATGAGCTCTCCTCGAAGTTCATCATATGATAGCTTATTGAGATCCTGTGATTCAAGTGTAACCACTTTGGTCTGCCAAGTAGTGGGTAGGCTTCTAAGAATCTTTCTAACTTGATCACCACTTGAGTATGGTTTGCCAAAAGCTTTTAGATTGCTAATGAGTTTACTGAATATGACAAATATCTCTTCAATAGATTCTCCTTCTTTCATCTGAAAGAGTTCATAATCATGAACCAACATATTGATATGTGTTTCCTTTACTTTACTGGTTCCTTCGTATGTTACTTCAAGTTTATCCTACATCTCTTTGGTTGTATCACAACTGGAGATTTTCTCATACTCTTTACCACTTATAGCATTGTAGAGCAAATTTCTTGCTTTATTGTTGACTTGTACAACTGTAATTTGCTCATCTGTATATGAATCTATATCTTTGGGATCAGCAAGTGGTTGAGCGGCAGCCGACAGAGGATAGTTCCCGTTTTTGATAACTCTCCATACTTTAACATCATAAGCCTTTGCATATATTTCCATACGCACTTTTCAGTGAGAGAAATGTTGTCCATTGAAGTATGGTGGCCTCACTTGCGAAGTTCCTTTTTGGAAGAGTGCTCCTATAATAACCTCATTTGCCATGATCTTTTCTCACAAGCTGTTAAGCAAAAGAAAAATATGAGCCTCGCTCTGATACCAATTGACAGTACAAGAAGGGGTGAATTATTTATTTTCAAAACCTAATCGCTACCGGTTGACTAGTTTTCAAATTAGTTGACTAGATGTAATAACTTGATAACAGTAAGGATTGAATTTAAGATGCAGAAATTAAATGCAGGAATTAAAGACACCGAAATTTTTATACTGGTTTGGATTCAATGTTAATCCTAGTCCAGTCCCCTTGGGTTGCAAGGGAGTTCTCTTTTAGTGAATAAATTTCTCGAGTACAAAGTGAATGGTGTGATCTAAAATAGATAGCTCAGTTCCTATATCACTTGTTCCCCTTTGATACAATGCATCACCAGTGTTGTTCTCTTTTTCTTCTCTAACTTGTTACACGACATATCTATTAGAGCTACAATGTTTGTTTGCAGTAGAAGAAAGAGGGTATTTGGTTCGATCAAAGTATATGTGCTAAGGTACAGATAAAAGTTTAAATACTTTGAGAGAGGCTTGACTTCTGAAGAGATTTTCCAACCCAAGAGATTTGATCCTCATAAAGAGATTGATTCTTTCCAAAAATAAGGTTATTCAGCAACGGCTTTGTCATGACGAGATGGCTTTAATTACTTCCCTTATACATGACTTGATAGCGCTGAATATCCTTCCTTGAATCTTGGTCCTTCCAGATTTAGTATACTTGATTGATTATCTTGCAAGATCTTTGATACTCTTGATTGATTGATTCCTTCAGTCTAGCCTTAACTGATTCCGTCAGTATTGGACACTATCATTGATTCCTTCAATCTTGGATGCTTTCCTTGATCTTCTCTGATTGATTTCTTCAATCTTGAATGCTTTCCATGAGTTCCTAGAGAAAGAACAAATATATTATTTTCATCATTAAAATCAGATCTAACATGTTTAACACTCCTCCTTGGCATATTTGTGGGAAACACCAATTCTTTGCCTCAGATATTCAAAAAAATTCTTTAGCGAGGACTTATTGGTCATCAGATGAGCAATGAAAAAGCATCACTTCATTGGATTATTGAACTTCTCTAAAAAAAGAACTTGATCTTAGTGTACTTAGGTCGACCATGAAACACTAATTTTTTTTAAGATTAAAACTGCTAAAAAATTATCACACATGATCCTAGTAGCATATGTTTGTTCATGGTCTAAGTCCTTAAACATCTTCCTTAGCTAAAATAGGTTGGTTCACAGCAGAGGCAATATCAATGTACGACGCTTCTACTGTTGATTGAGCTATAGTTTCCTATTTTTTAGAGCTCCAACTGAAATAGCTAGTGCCAAAAGAGAAAAAATATCCAAAAATGCTTCGGGAATCATTAGTCCAGGTACCCTAGTCACTATCAGAATAATGTGCAAAAGTATAGTATGAGTACACTACAATCGGTAACCAGTAAGTATCAAGACTAACCTCGGTGAAGTAGCGACAATATTCATGCCACGTGATACTCACTAGTCAAAGAACTTGTGCACTTATCATAAAGGCAACAAGAATATATATCGAAGTACTATACCAATAATCTCGTTAAAACGGGTGACAATAATTCAATGTAGAAAAATCTATCTTTGACAAACAACTCATCAAGTAGAAATAGAGGCATATGATAGTATGTTTATATTAAAACTTGTAGAAATGCATGATGAAGTTTAAAGAATGTATATATATGATAAAAATGTCACTCTCAAACCACCACATAAACATCAAGAATTTATGATGACCTGATAGGTCATTTACAGTTTCACCCTTCATTTTTCTGTTATGAGACCTCGAATAGCTCCACTTAGCCTTCCTTGATTTACGTGCGTAATCTGTATTTGTCTTCCCGAAAGGTTTTTATGAGAAAATTGATGAGAATGTGAAATCGTGCCTTAAAACTCATTCGAGTTGATTACGGTTAATATTTTGTGTAAATGGACCCGGATCAATATTTTGACGGTTCCGATGGATCTGTATCGTGATTTGAGACTTGGACGTATGCCCGGAATCAAATTCGAAAGTCCACAGCTTGATTTAACATACTTTGTTGAAAATTAGAAGTTTAAAGGTTTAAAGGATTCTTAAGTTTGACCGTAAGTTGACTTTATTGTTACCGGGTTTAGATTTTGATTTCGAAACTTGATATAATTTCACTATAGTATTTATGACTTGTCTGCAAAATTTGGTGCAAAACAGAATTGATTTGACATGATTCGAACGTCTAATTGAGATATTGCATGTTCTTAGGTTTCATTGAAAATTTCATTCATTTTGGTGTCTGATTCGTAGTTCTAGGTGTTAATTTTGGTGTTTTGATTGTATGAGTAAGTTCGTACGATATTTTTGGACTTGTGTGCATGGTTGGTTTTGTAATGACCCGGCCAGTCGTTTCGAGAGTTGTAGCTCCATTTCCCGATTTCTGCTTCATTTTGTGTTCTTCAACTATATTAAGATATGTTGGGTCAATTAGTTTAGGTCTAGAGTGCTTTCGGAGAGGGTTTGAGACACTTAGTCTTTTTTGTGAAGGCTTAAGTTGGGAAAATTGACCAGATGTTGACTTATGTGTAAACGATCTCAGATTTGAATTTTGATTGTTCTGTTAGCTCCGTTAGGTGATTTTGGACTAAAGAGCACGTCCGGAAGGTGTTTTGGAGGTCCGTAGGAAAATTTGGTTTGAATTGGCGAAAGTTGGAAATTTGGCGATTTTGGTCGGCAATGGGATTTTTGAAAGTTGGAATAGGTTCTGGTGTCATTTGTGACTTGTGTGTAAAATTTGGGTCATTCATATGTGATTTGATAGGCTTCGACGTCGTTTGCGGAATTTGGAAGTTTAGAAGTTCATAGGCTTGAATCCGAGGGTAATTTGGTGTTTTGATGTTATTTTTAGTGATTTGAAGGCTCGACTAAGTTCGTATGTTGATATATGACTTGTTGGTATGTTTGGTTGAGGTCCCAAAGGGCTCGGGATGATTTCGGATGGTTAACAGAGATTTTGGAGTTTGAAAAATACAGCTGAAGCTGTTGCTGTTGGTGTTTCTGCACGTACGGAGTAGGAACCGCAGCTGCGAGGTTGCATGAATAGCTAAGGAGACGCAGAAGCGGCCACAAGGGACTTGAACAGGAGCCGCAGATGCGAAGTGTTTCCCGCAGCTACGAGAGGCGCAGATGCGGGTAGGCAAGCGCAAGTGCGAGGGGGAATGCGCAGGCGCGAGGTTGTTTCTGCACCTTTAATGATCGCAGATGCGGTCGTGAAACGCAGATGTGGACCTGGGGATTTAAGTGATTTTTCGCAGATGTGGAGGTTTTTGCACAAAAGTGGCACCACATGTGCGCATTTTAGGCCGCAGGTGCAAAAAGCCTGGGAAAAAGGTATAAATACAAGACTTTACGAACTTTTGCTCATTTCCACCATTTTCAAGTCGGGCCTTGGAGCTTTTGGAGTGATTTTGAAGGGGATTCAAGAGTTTTTCAGTGAGGTAAGTTGGTTGAGCTCTAATACTCCTAGGTATGGTGTTTTCCTATTAATTTCCCACCTCATTAGTAAGATTTTTGAAGTGAAATAATGGTTAGGGCTTGGTATTTTGGAGAGAGTAATTTGGCAATTTGAAGGACCAAATGATGTCGGATTTTGATGAAATTGGTATGGATAGACTCGTGAGAGAATGAGATTTCTAGTTTTGTGACTTTTGTCAGATTCCGAGACATGTGCCCTGATAACTAGGGATTATGATGCATTTCACTCTCCTTCTTACTTAAGTTTTGATTATATATGTGTACAAAATAGTCTCAAAGGCTCACATGTTGTACTTAATTGCAGGGTTTGATCAACAAGGTAAAATTTGTCAAAAACCCAGCTCAAAAAAGAGTGAAACATGCACAAGTACCAAGACCAATTCCAAGCTCAGTCAAACAGGGCCAGTGCGGTCGCACATCATTTTGTATGGTCCACAAAGATGAAGTTCAGAGAGCAGGCATTTCAGGCAACCAAGCAATGCGGCCGCAAAGGATTTTTTGCAGACCGCATTGATTTCACTGCGGACGCACTTGATTTTTTGCGGTCCATAGAGCCCAAGATCAGAGAGTTGCCAATTGGAGGATTATGACCAATGTGGTCCGTGGTCCATTTTGTGCGGACCTCAATAGAAGCCACCGCGGCCGCGGTGCATTTTGTGTGGTCCGCGGTGGCCAACTTCATAG